ACTTAGTCACCTGCCCGACCACGTGGATTTTCTCAAGGTACTCCATTTCCCTCCCATATTTAAACCCCCTTGCGCTAATATCCAGGCTAACAAGAGTGATTAACAGAAGTTGTATTACCTTGTTTTATAATTGCAGTAAAAATAAAGTTTATATAAATGTATTTTCCTTTTTTACTTATTAAATCTCATCGTTAACATTTGTTAATTCGAAGTCTAAGACAAGGCGACTTCCTTCGTGTTTGTTTCTTTTAATTCCATGTGAAAATGACCAGATCCAGACACTCGAATATATATATATATATTTATCCTTAGAAATTGTTCACGACCCCAATACAAACAAGTTAAACCCTTCTCTATAATTATACAAGGGTAATTGAAGGGGGGGAATTTTAGAAATAAAAAAGGTTCAAACGCCAAACTATTCATGCCCGTCCTTACTGTTAATTTGTTATGACATTTACATTTTTTTATGTCGGCAATTCACCTTGATGACCTTATATAAATACGTTTCATTCCTGTCCGTTCGTAACACACCATTATCACGTTACATACAATGTAATGAATATCTATAAAACATGCCGTAGAGATGAAAATAAATGTGAAAGATCTGGTGCAGTAAAACATGGCGGAAAGCTGAATTTGGTTTCCATGACTGCAGAAACTGAGTTTCCGTCAACTTTCAATAAGTTTTCAATTTTCGGAACCACTCTTGTTTCGCCCATTGTCAGTAACTGCCGTGCCGAAGGTCCAGTCTTAGTTTGACGGAGGTGAGTGACAAACTATCTTTGATTTTAACAAAGACATTACATGTACGACAGTTAACACATGGGACGCAGATATTTTTCCTTTCTAATGTTGTTGTTTTTCCTTATTTTTGGTGTCTCCCTATATCTCATCGTTACCTTTCTTCTGTTTTGCTGTCTCCTCAGCTCCTGTTGTAGTCTCTTCTTTTGTTTTTACTGTCTCTTCTTTTGTTTTGGTGTCTCATCAGTTCCTGTTGCTGTCTCTCTTTTTGTTTTGGTGTTTCTTTAGCTCCTGATGTCGTCTTTTTTTGTTTTTGTTTCTCCACAGTTCCTGTCGCTGTCTCCTTTTTGGTTAGGTTTCTCCTCGGTTCCTGTCGCTCTCTCCTTTTTGGTTAGGTTTCTCCTCAGTTCCTGTTGCTGTCTTCACGTTTGGTTTTGTGTCTCCTCAGTTCCTGTCGCTGTCTTCACGTTTAGTTTTGTGTCTCCTCGGTTCCTGTCGCTGTCTCCTTTTGGTAAGGTGTCTCCTCAGTACCTGTTGCTGTCTTCCCTTTTGGTAAGGTGTCTCCTCAGTTCCTGTTGCTGTCTTCCCTTTTGGTAAGGTGTCTCCTCAGTACCTGTTGTCTTGCCTTTTGCGTTGATGTCTCGTCAGATCATGTTGCTGTCTTTCATTTTACTTTGTGCTTTTGTTGTTTTGACATCCGCTTTGATGTCTCCTCAGGTCCTGTTGTTGTCTTTCCTTTTGTTGTGGTCTCTCCTCAGCTCTTGATGTCGTCTCTCCTTTTGTTGTGGTTTCTCCTCAGTTCCTGTTGCTGTATATCCTTTTGTTTTGTGTGTCTCCTCAGTTCCTGTTTTTGTTTATCTTTTTGTTTCGTGTGTCTCCTCAGTTCCTGTTGCTGTATATCCTTTTGTTTCGTGTGTCTCCTCAGTTCCTGTTGTTGTCTTTCCTTTTGTTGTGGTGTCTCCTCAGTTGTTTTCTTCCCTCTTTTGTATGTCTCATCGGTTCCTTGTATTGTCTTTCCTTTATGTTGTTGTTAATTCCGATCATGTTGATGTATTTCCTTTTTTGCTAGTGTCTCCTCAGTTCTCGTCGCCGTCTCCCTTTTGGTTAGGTGTCCCCCACAGTTCCTATTGTTTTGCCAATCGTGTTGATGTCTCGTCAGGTTCTGTTGCTGTCTTTCATTTTATTTTGTTCTTTTGTTGTTTTGACCTCTTTCGTTTTGGTGTCTCCTCAGTACCTGTTGTTGTCTTTTCTTTGTTGTTACTTCATATATTGTTGACGTATCTCCTTTTTGTGGTGTCTCCTCAGGTCCCTGTGTCCTCTTTATGGTTTGTCCTTGAAGTATGTGTTGACACCATGTACTATTGTTCTGTCTCATTCCCATGTACGTTCGTAACACGAAACTACAGGGTCAAAAGTAATTCGTCGACGATAAAGAACTTCCATTCAATGACAAGTGTACATTGTACACATCACGTGACTTGAACATACTTGTTCTCAACACAGAACGATCCCGATATTAATTTCATCCAATGAATGACGAAATTTTGACCCGGTAACCTACAAATATGGGAACTCGTCTTAAAGACCCCCACATTAAATAACCTTTGATATATGTACTTAAATACTCAACTGATATATACGTGTTAACAATGGCAGAAATAAAGGATCTGCTGCAATTCGTATATGTATAATACATATCAATTTCGGTAACTCGTGCAGAGACAACATGATCGTCTTTGCTATTCATTTCCGATACATCTCGGTCGCTAACAAAAGTTAAGCCCTTCTCGTTGGTATAAAGTTACTATTGAAATCTGCTAATCTTTTAAATCAGCGAGACCTCGAACTACGCCAGACTTTTCAAACCTGTTTTTGTGATGATACATGCATACCTGTAAGTGTACATGCCTTAGGGATTAAGTAGGGCGTACATGATTATTTAAGATACCTGTACATAAATAAATTCAAAACCTAACCAATTCGTCGTTAAGAGAATTAGCGGGTAGTGAGGAGGGGTGAGGAGGAAGAGGAATAATGGCGGGTGGGGGTGTTGGGGGTGTGTGTGGGTGTGGGTGTCTTTTGTAGTGTGTACGTGGGGACAGGAGTAAAGACAAAAAAGGTCCAATACTTCCAATGATCTGTTGACAATTAAAAATGAGTCGATGTTTTTAAAAGAGATATATCAAAAATATTACATTTACTAGAATATTCACTGTATTTTACAGTTTTTATTGTATGAGAACTCTTTTGGGGAGAAGATATATATGCTGTAAGGTATTATACCTCCTTAAATGCAAACAATGTTTGTATAGAAATGAACATACGGACTTACACATATGCATCCTCTCTCATTCACACATACCCCACGTACACACACACACACACATCTTACCATTCACATAAGCATATCCTCGTTTCTATAAACACATGAAGAGCCAACCCTCACACCAGTATACATCCTCTCTCTCGCACAAGCATTCTACCTCACACACGTGCAAATATATCACACATATGTATACCATCTCTTACACACACGTACATTTGAACAAGTACGTACAATCCATCCCAAACAGCTGTGTGGTTAAAGCGTCTGTTGACAATCCCTTGCCTTTCACCACTGGGCCGCGAGTTCGAGTCGCAAGGTAAAATCCGCAGGTCGGAAGCTTTTCTCCGGGTGCTCCGGTTTTCCTCCAACATCAAACCCTAGCACGTGCTTCAACGATCAAAGCAGTTAAAAGGACGTAAAACAAAAACTAAACAAATCCCCAAAAGTTACTCTACTCGGTCAGAGTAAAGTGACCAGGTGAGGTATTATGTTTACACTGTGTAAAAGTTATGTCATTTCAGTATGACAGCACTTGAAAACCCTGAGTGACCTGCCTATGAATGCAATGTCGTCATATGACTTTATAACTGTTGCAAGAATGGAAAACGCTGCGATCGCTTGCTCACAAAACAACCCTCGCACGCAAGACATATACCTGACACATAATAAACGCGCACTAGCCAAAACATAATAGACTTCAAGCAAAACAAAACAAAAGAAAAGAAAGTATAAAGTATAAAAGAAAAAAAAATCGATTTCTCTGTAAGGGGCCTCGTTAGAAAACATTACGAACCATCTAGACGGTTCACAAAATATCGAGAGTTAACATACGGTGACTTACTCTGAATACATATTTGACACTACCTTGACATAATATCACAAAACCTACTTCATTATTATATACACTTCATTTTTCAATTATTTTTAAAAAAACGTCTGTAAATGGGTGTATACATACACAGCTGGGGACGACCATAAGAACGGTCGTCTGTTGTTTTGTACAGTATATACGTGACATATATGGGACCCCTATACAAATTTTACCGGCGACATTTACACAACATAATGGTCTAGATTTCGTACGATCTAAGCCTTCGTATTTATTGATTGCCTTCTTTGTACAATTAGCTGTTTTCTACTCCAATCTCAAACCAGTACAGAAGTAGGCCTAGACTAGTGAAAGTACATCAGTGTTTCTCTCATACATATAGCTTTCAAGACATCACAGGGGCTTCGTTTTAAGTTTGCACGTGAGATGCACGTTCTGGGCTATATACGTCACGACGAATTAGTGTCAAAACAAAAACACGCGAATAAGTGCGGTAAGTAGTCAACATTATACATAGAGGGAGTGAACATATGCTAGCACAGTGTTGTGTTCCTTTGGGCTTTGAACCAATAGACTAAGGATTTATTTTAGAGGAGGAGTATGATAAATCAGCTTTTACGGAAGTGGTGATTATAGGTGAAATAATCACTGAAAATGAACGAATGATATCATTCCTCTGATTTGCATTGTGCTGATTTGTTTTTAAAGTTAAACAGTCGCAGAACAATTAGTTTTATACAGTCAATTGTTAGCAGGCGAAATTAGAAACACTACCAACGATTTGAACAATTTACGGTGTTAATTACTATTCACGTGCGCTCGCGCCAAAGACCCGCGCGTCTGCTGTACTCCTGTAGCGACTCCACCAAAGACAAAAGTTAAATGGAATCATTAGGCAGATGTGTAGAAGAGTCTGCATCACATTGCTGCTTGTAAACTGTTTGAGATCTTACGTAAGTTAAGCGTTTGAGTGATGGGAACTATCGAGTAGCCTGCTACTTGCCTGGTGATTAACGGCAGAGCGGTCGTTAGTTTATTAATCTCACTTAGGAAAGTGGGCTATTTCCCTGTGTGGTAAGATTCCCTACACAACGTTTTACTGACGTGGATTCCGAGTAGTTTTATTGCGGGTACGTATATATACTTATTGAGGCCACGTGTACGGTCTGGTAGTAATAGAATGTTTATTCTTTTGATCTGTATGTTATATAATGTTTACATATTTTAATAATTATTGTGATGGTATATTTATGAGATTTTTTCTTTATTTGTGATATCGGTGAAGGTTAACGCTACATAAGTACATCTCTTTACACTGCCACCATTTGTCCAGATTAATATCGACGTTATAAGGAGGTCTGGCGTTATAACGAAAATATGGTGAGGGATTGTCATAACGAAAACATGGTAAGGAATTGTTATAACAAAAACATGGTAAGGAATCCTTATAACGAAAATATGGTGAGGGATTGACATAACGAAAATAAGGTAAGGAATTGTTATAACAAAAACATGGTAAGGAATCCTTATAACGAAAATATGGTAAGGAATTGTTATAACGAAAACATGGTTAGGAATTGTTATAGCGAAAATATGGTAAGGAATTGTTATAACGAAAATATGGTAAGGAGTTGTTATAACGAAAATATGGTAAGAAATTGTTATAAGTATTTATGGTAAGGAAATGTTATAACGAAAATATGGTAACGAATTGTTATAACGAAAATATGGTAAGGAATTGTAATAACGAAAATATGGTAAGAAATTGTTATAACGAAAATATGGTAAGGAGTTGTTATGACGAAAATATGGTAAGGAATTGTCATAACGAAAATATGGTAAGGAATTGTTATAACGAAAATATGGTAAGGAATTGTAATAACAAAAATATGGTTAGGAATTGTTATAACGAAAATATGATTAGGAATTGTCAAAACGAAAATATGGTAAGGAATTGTTATAACGAAAATATGATTAGGAATTATTATAACGAAAATATGGTAAGGAATTGTTATAGCGAAACTATGATTAGGAATTATTATAACGAAAATATGATAAGGAATTGTTAAAACGAAAATATTGTAAGGAATTGTAATAACAAAAATATGGTTAGGAATTGTTATAACGAAAATATGATTAGGAATTGTCAAAACGAAAATATGGTAAGGAATTGTTATAACGAAAATATGATTAGGAATTATCATAACGAAAATATGGTAAGGAATTGTTATAGCGAAACTATATTAAGGAATTGTTATAACAAAAGTATGGTAAGGAATTGTTATAACGAACATATGGTAAAACATTGTTTTAAAGAAAATATGGTAAAACATTGTTTTAACGAAAATATGGTAAGTATTGTTATAACAAAAATATGGTAAGGAATTGTTATAACAAAAATATGGTAAGGAATTGTTATAACGAAAATAGGATTAGGAATTGTTAAAACGAAAATATGGTAAGGAATTGTTATAACAAAATTATGATTAGGAATTGTTTTAACGAAAATATTGTAAGGAATTGTTATAACAAAAATATGATTAGGAATTATTATAACGAAAATATGGCAAGGAACTGTTATAACGAAACTATATTAAGGAATTGTTATAACGAAAATATAGTAAGGAATTGTTATAACGAAAGTATGGTAAGGAATAGTTATAACGAAAATATGGTAAAACATTGTTTTAACGAAAATATGGTAAGGAATTGTTTTAACAAAAACATGGTAAGGAATTGTTATAGCGAAAACATGGTAAAACATTGTTTTAAAGAAAATATGGTAAAACATTGTTTTAACGACAATATGGTAAGGAATTGTTATAACAAAATTATGGTAAGGAATTGTTATAACGAAACTATATTAAGGAATTGTTATAACGAAAGTATGGTAAGGAATTGTTATAACAAAAGTATGATAAGGAATTGTTATAACGAAAATATGATAAGGAATTGTTATAACGAAAGTATGGTAATGAATTTTTGAAAAGAAAATATGGTAAGGAATTGTTTTAACAAAAGTATGATAAGGAATTGTTATAACAAAAATATGGTAATGAATTTTTAAAAAGAAAATATGGTAAGGAATTTTTATAACAAAAACAGGGTAAGGAATTGTTTAAGAAAATGAATGAAAGAAAATCTTGAAATATTTTGGCGGTAAGCGAGGTGGCGGATGAGGCGAATGGCATTATATCGAAGTATACACAACACATGTAGATACACAATGTATGCTGTTATGTACATTCTTACTTTGTCAATGTAACTTTAAAATATCAAACGCACTGTTTAGTTTGATATTTGCTCTTGATTTGGCCCCAGGTCAACTTATATCTGCGTATTTTGATATACTTGTCGAGTGTCGCGACTTCCTTGTTTTTTCAAGTGTCAAATTACTTAACTTTACCATTACAGAATAGTACACCAACTGTTCACGTTCTACAGACAAGTTTTAATATTTCCTTCAGTGACACTATTCCTTAATCAGTTTTGCAATAGCAGTAGTATATATCTACAAGCCAGCCGAAATGAACATTTTTAGATATGATATTAAAGTTTCTTCGTTTTGTGTAATATTGGCATACTTGTCAAAAGGCCCGCATTGCCTCAAAAGAGTGACAAATGAATTAGTTCGCAATGTCGCCTTTAAATTATATTTTAACGCGAATATATATTAGATGATATCATATTAATTATTTTTCATTGAATTCTATAATGAAAAATGTATAGTCTATGCCAAGTACTATTGGACCGATTACAAATAAGCCTGACATCAACTAATCCGTATATATATATATATATACAAAATGACCAGCATGGTAAGAACAAGTACACAAAGCTTTATACAAGCAAAGTGTGGCGTCAAGGATTGAATTGAAGGCAATCGACCTTGTTCTTTTTTCCCGGAACTCCCTCTTTCATTTTCTCTTCCGTTTCTTTCTTTACTCTGACATACCGTTTCGTCTCACATTTCTCCCAGCTTGTCGTCTAATTCCCATAAATTACCGTAATGTATGTCTCTCTGCACCTCTCATTTACTTCTTCTGTTCCTTATTACTTCAATTTTTCTCCCCTCTTCGGCTCCTCTACTCTTCTGTTTCTGCTACCCTCCTCCTTTATGATCTTGTCCTTTACTCCCGCTTCCATCTTCCCTCCCACCTTCCCCTTTCCGTTCCCTCCCTTCCCCTCAAGCCCCTTCCGTTTTCACCGAATTCAGCCCAATACTCGCCTGGTATCATTACTTACTTCCAAAAATCTCCTCCCAACGTCCCCTCCCCCGCCCCCGCTGTTTCATATAGACCACCAATTAAGTATTTTGATTCCGACGTCAATGTTTCGACATCCGTTATCATAGTGTAAATGGACGCAACGTATATATACATACAGACACGCGGTACCGATAGCGATACCATCCAACTTTATGTCTGCTTTGAGCGGTTAATGAACTAAAGTGTTACTAGAGTAATGAGACGTAATGCGTGCACGCGAGAGGTGAACATACAGCGCGTGCAGGGGTCACAACGTAGGGAAACTTTGCGGTTGTTGATCTTATACAGTGATACAAGCTATCTGTCAAGTTGTAGTTTGGGACGATGTATCATGCATGTAGTCGATAAAACCATTGTACACATACTAATCATATTATCATTTGTAGACGCTTTTAGACAGGTCAATTAGTTTATCGACCTTTTTAGCCTTTCCTATACAAAATCATATTATTTTTGTTCGCATTGTGTGTTTAGCATTATGACTGAAGACCTGTATGAGGTATTTCATATATTGTTTAAAGTAAAACCTCGTTATTCTGCCATCATTTGAACGTTTGGCATTCTAAATTTCGTGAATATAATGACAGATTGAATCATAATGAATATTGAATTACCCTTTAGAAATGATAGAGTACAAGGATGTGTTAAAGTATTGGGTTAATTCCTTCTTGGAAATCCATACCGGCTCAGAATAACACATACTCTATAAATAGCATCAGTGAACATAGGACTTGTACTCATTGATTTATCGAAAAAGACAAACAAATAATGCAATCTCATTAAAATTTAGCCATCATTCAAAATGAGTCGACTGGAATTTACAAAGACTGTAGAGATTCATATTTTATGTAAAATAACCATTTCAATAGACACACAGATGTTAAACCCAAAGGTAGGTTGATTAAGGCAAATTTATTTTATTGATTCATTATTCAAAATGAGTCGACTGGAATTTACAAAGACTGTAGAGATTCATATTTCATGCAAAATGTAATAATTTCTACCTCTTTTACCGTTAGCGTATTTCAAGGTTTCCTTCTTCATAATTTAAGCATTTTTTTCTTTACTCATCGTTATATCGACAAACCTCGGTATATCGACAAACCTCGTTATATTGGCAATCCTCGTTATAACACCAACAATGGCAGTATAACGAGGTTCCATTGTATACATTGGAATAATAACACAACTGATTTTGACGATGACTCATGTCCTAAAATCATACTTTCAACTAACGCTACGAACTGGATGCGGAATTAACAGACAGGACACATAAAACACATTCCCCAAAAAATAAAGGAAATCAACTGAATTGCAGTAAATCAAATATAAAGAGGCATAAAACCTGACATGATTTAGACTGGTATCTTAATTTTTCAGTAACAATTCTGTTACTTAACTTAAATTAGTGTCTAGCTCTGTTTTGATTTCCTTCCATGCTTGTCCTGATATCTGTCTTTATCTTTTCTTTTCTTCTTTCTCTTTTTTTATTTTCTTACCAGCTTCTTTTTCTTTCCTTTTATCCTTCCTTCTTCCTTAAAGCAATACAGTGTGATATTAAATGAAATAATACCTATCCATATGCAGTCTTTAGTGATACAAATTTCGTTTTGCATAATTTGTATGGCATGAGTGGTGATATGAAAGATGATTGGTGACAAATAGGTTAGTGTATGATCTGAGTAAATTACTGCTCCATTATTAATGTCACTGTATTAAAAAATATCTTTTGAAAATAAAAAAAAATATAAAAAGAAGGATAATAAACAATCTGCTGGAAAAATAAAAATATAAAGAAGCTACAACATTTTAGAAACTCGATAAAATGTCCCTCGTTTCGTTTTTCACCTCGCTTACCGCCA